GGGGGGGGGGAGTATACCAGGAATGGGGAAAGGGAAAGGGAGAGTTGTCTAACCACAGGAGTTTGTTGGTTCCAAGGATGAGATCTTAGGATTCTGAAGGACAGAGTTCAGGAGTTCCTGGACGGAGAGAAGTGGGCAGCAGAGGGGAGGCAGAGCCTGAGGTTAGAGGGAAAACCTGGATCCAGATGAGAAAACTCTGGTTGAAGGGAAAACCTGGGCAAGATCGCTGAAGCACAATCCATGATGGCTTGGGTTGGCAGAAAAACCTTGCCTGGTTTCAGGGTGGACAGGAAGAAGCTGAGCAACTGGTAAGAAGGAGGGTTGCCAGCTCTTCCCTCCCTTACCTGCATCTGGCGGCAGGTAGAAGACGAAGATGGCCAGGAGAGTGATGAGGATGCATGGGGCAATGACATTGACCAGGTAGAAGAGAGGCTTCCGGCGAATGATGAGGTAGAAGGTGACTTCTTGCCGCTGTCCTTCCCCCCCTCCCCTAGGATCCGCTGGAGGCTGGATTAGCCGAGAAGGCTTGTGGATAATTTCCCATTGGCCATTCTCTGGGAGGAAGGAGAGGGGAGGAGAGAAGAAAGGGACACAGGTGTGGGACCTGTCCTTATTGCTGCCAGATATGGCTTGCTCTGCCACATCCTAGACCCGAGGGTGGCTGATGTGATAAGGCGCTAGCTGCGGACACTGGGCTGGGCAGCCCATCTCTGATGAACGAGCCTCCACTTCCATATCTGCGAAATGTAGAGAGTCCCACTTACCTTCCCGACCCCACAGGTTGTACTGGGCATTGCCGAAGGAGGAGGGTGTTTATCAGCCTGTTAGAAACTGGAAATCATAAAGCCCATGGACGTGGGAGCCATGCCCACACTCACCAATGAAGGTGCCTTCATGAATGTGCACTTCCTGCCGCTCCTGCTTATCAGGACCCAAGCCGGCCCGCAGGCTGACCTCGGAGCTGTCGTAGCTGTAGGAACTGAACACCATCGTGCAGTTCTGCCAGTCGAAGGGGAAGTAGGTGACCTGGATGGAGCGGGGGTGGGGGGGTGTCACCAGAGCTGCCAGAGAACTGTTCGGGGCTGGGGGCGTTGGGAGGTCATTAGGCAGGTCACAGGGATGTAGGGTCACAGACGAATTGGAAGGTTATTAGGGGAGGCCATGGGCAACGGGAGCGAGGTCGCTGAGAAACACTGCAAGTCAGCGACAGTGGGCAGAGAGGATGAAACAACGCAAAATCAGGAGGACGGGAGCGATATGGAGGGTTATGGGGGATAACGGAGGAGGGACGGGAGTCGCTGCGGAGGCCGTGTCTCGGAAGAAGCAGGGTTCCCAGGGGAAGCCCGGGCACCTGGATGCTGCAGCTGCTACGGTAGAGGCCGGGAGGCTGCCAGCGCACGGAACCATTGGAGGACACCACGACGTTCAAGTCCAGAGCAACGTCAAAATTTCCGTCGTTGCTGCGGAGGAGGAACCTTCTCGGTCGGGATCAGGCCCCGCCCCCCGGAGGCCCCGCCCACCTCCCCGCCTCGGGGAAGATCTTACTTGTTTAGGAGTACCACGTCCGGAAGCCACACGGATCCAGCCGTAATGCGGAGTGAATCGATGCCGTCGTGCTCCGCGGGGTCCCAGCTCAGCCTGTAGTCAGTCCACTCCTGTGGAAGCAGAGGCTGAGGGGCTGTCCGGGACTGGAGCCTGGGAGGGGACGTGGGATGTCCGGAGGAAGCCGGAGAGGGAGTGCAAGGAAGGGGAGCCGACAGGCCTGGGCTATGGTCCTGGAAGTCGGGGTCCTGATTCCGGCTGCACCTTTACTCGCTGGGACCCCATCAGCCAATTTCCTCTTCCCTCGCCCTGGGCCCCCAGTTTTTAGTCTGTAAAAATGAGGAGGTTGCACTAGCTAGCCACTAAAACTGTTTTTCAAACTGCAGTTAGCGACCCTTTAGTGGGTCGGGAATCAAGTTAGCGGCCCCCAAAACATTGTTAAAAAAATTAGAATAAGAAATGTGTGGCATGCAACTCCCATAGTAAAGATAGGTATTGTCTCCTGAAGCTTCCGTTCCGTTATGTTTTCTGAGGTCGTGATGCAAGATACACTCTTACTGAGCGGGACATTGGAGGAAATTGGAAAGGCAGCGGGGACGCCCTCTCCCACCCCGTGGGGTCTCCATACCAGGTCTAAGTACACCTTTGTGCTCATCTCCTCATCCTTCTCGTTCTAGAAGGGAAAAGTTTAAAGGGTAGAGGTGATGTGAATAGAGAGAAATGAAGGGGCTCGGCGGGTCAAGCTCTCTCTGGAAACCCCTCTTTTTCTGAGCCCCTCTCTCTTGGCTCCAAGCCCCGCCTCCTAGATGCGGAATTGACTTAAGCCCCGCCTCTATCCCGGAAACTTCCGGCCGTCCCGGGCCCCACCCACAGCCCGTAACTCACCCAACCCTGAATCTCCGCCCGCTGTTGTTTCCCGACCTAGTCCGGCGCCAAGCTCCGCCCCAGCCTGCGACCACGCCTCAAGGCCCGCCCCCCAGCCTTCCCGTAGCCCCGGCCTCACTTCAGGGTTCCTCGCCCTACCCGGCTGTACCCGCGGCCGGTCCAGCAGCCACGCCCACAGCTTGTCCACTGGTCCGATTTCGACCCAATCTCTGCTAACGGCCTGTCCATCTCCCGGCCTGGCCTCGCCCCAGGCCCCGCCCCCAGCCGGCCCTCGCTCCGGCCCCGCCCAAAGCCACGCCCCCAGCCGGACAGCGCGCCCGGCCTCCGCCCCGGCGTGCGCCCTCACCAGGCTGATGAGCTGCGCCAGGCTGAGGCCAATGCTGACCCCGACACGGTCCCCCACCTCCCGCGCCGGCCGCACCGAGCTGTCATAGCCCGAGAAAAGCTTCTCGCGGAGCCGGCCCTCCGCCTCCGTGCCGCGGGCGCCTGGAGAGGAGAGCACGAAGTGAAGCCACCGCGCCCGGCCACGACCCCTGGCCCCGTCACTGCCCCCCTGAGGCCCAGACGTACCAGGGGCGAGCGGCGCCCCCAGCGCCCCCAGCAGCAGCAGCAGCCGCCCTGGGGTCATAGCCCGGCCGCGTGGCTCAGTGAGTTCGCTCGGTTCGCCAGCGCAGGGGAAATGACGAGGCGCCCAGGAATGTGCACCTGTTGTTGGGGGCAGCCGCCAGCCCACCCGCCCCGCCCCTGGGACTTGGTCCCGCCCCAAGCAACTGCCAATGCCCGCCACCCACAGATGACAGACAACACTTCAGTTGTAGAAATCGTCTTTAATTGAGAAAGCATGGAGTGGAGACCCCGTCCCCTGGGAGCAGAGCCAGGGGATGGGCGGAGCCTGAGCGGGGTCTGTGTGGGCTAGGGGAGTATGCACCCCTCTTGCAACAAGCCAGAAATAGAAAGAGCCTGAGGAAGAACGACCCGCCTCTGAGCCCGAGCCCCTCCCTTTAGGGTCTCCTCCGTCTTCCCTGCCCAGGTCTGAGGCTACTCGGAGCCTTCCTCCTAGTTCACTGGTGGGTTCCTGATCTTTCTCAGGGCTGCCCCTAGCTCTACACGCTTTTCAGAAAAATCTAGTCAGGCCCTTTTCGGGTACCTAAGACTTAGCTGAAGTTATAAGCTGTAAGGTAAAAGCAAGCTCTATTAAGTTAGAAGCTCTGGGGTTATATGAGGTCTAGAGCCCAAGAGGCCCTCACCGTCCTTGGCCTGACTTATAGGGGAGACTTATTGCTGAATTGGGATCTCTGCACTGGGGATCAAGGCTGTGTCCTGTTTGTTCTTTTTATACTAGATCCATTACCTTAGAGACCTCAGCTTTAAAGGGGACCTGGAAGGAATTCCTGCTGAGGTAGCTAAGTGTTCATGTCCCCCCAACCCAGACACAGCCAAAACATGCCATGGGTTTGGCCCCTTGGCCATCTCAGGTTCCCTGCTATGAGCCAAGGATTCCTTCCCAGACTCCTCTGCCCTTCCTCAGACTCTGTTTCCCTGGCAGGACCCCAGCTGAGTTACAGGAGCTAGAAACTGCATGTAAAACTAAGGTTAGCATTCTGTAGGGAGAATCGGATTTTTAGAAAATCTAGGAAAAACAAGAAGCATTTCTTGATTCATCAACAACGTTCTTAGTGAATCATAGCTGGGTTCTTTCCAGAGCTCACCTTTAATAGGTATTACTAGAGAAGGTAGGAGGGTGGGTCTAGAACTCTCTATATGAGCACTGATATGGCTGTATAGGCCCGGGTTCCATCCTGGAGGGAAGGGCTGAGAGTCGTGGTCTATGTCCTAGAGCTGAGATTCAGAAGGAAGTATGGCTCCATGTGTGTCTAGAACACCATGCTCTAGAATTGGGTGTCTTTGGGATAAGAAAGTTAAAACTGTGGTGATCTGAGACTGGTCCTAGTTCAGGCCAAGGCCAGCAGCTGGATAGAGCTCAAATCTAACCTCTCTCTACTCGGAAACCAGGGGTCCATCTGGGTCAAGGACAGAAGCCTGATGGATCCAGCACAGAGCCTTAGGGCAAAAAGGGCCCTGGCTAGGGTGCCCGGTGTTCCAGAACCTGTCCAGAACAAGGCAGAAGGTGTAGTAGGGCAAAAAGGAAACTAATCCTGACCTCCAGTAGACCTATAAATCTATGGCTCAGTGGCAACGAAGAGGGCATAGGGCTCCCGGAACTGGCTGAGCCCAGGGTGCAGAGTATTTATGTCCTGGTTCTGTCAGTTTGGGAACCCCCAGCACCTTCTTGGGAAAAGGCTTTGGGGGGCTGTGAGTGTGGAAGGAAAGAAGTGAGCAGCCAGGGCCATTTTCAGAATCCTCCTCTCTGAACTCCTCCCAGGAGCTGGAAGTCGGTGGGGGGGGGGTTCACAGTCAGCCCCTTGGTTCCCTCAGGATAGAGCACCTGCTGGGACCTGGCTGCTCAGGGCATGAGGGTGGTGGCAGGGCTGGGGAATAGGCGGTGGCAGTGGCTGGCTCCATGCAAGGGCAGGGAGCCTCCAGTCCACGGACTACATTTTAGGGGGCAGGGGGACTGGAAGGGGAGGTCTCAGGGACACTGTGGAGAGAAGGCTCCCGGTACATGGCCACTGTGAAGGAGAGAGAGGAGCAGGAAGGAGAATTAGGCACGGAGAGGCCGAGGAGGAATCAGAGCTCGGAAAGGGTGCCCTTCCCTGAAACTCATCCTCTGGGAACCCCAACCCACAGGAGGAGGGCTCCCCAAACCCCCAAAGGCCAAAGCCTTCCTGGCTTGACCCGTCATAACAGGTGTCCTCTTGACACCTTGTAGCCCCCAAGTTGCCTGTCACTCAACGTCCATGTCAAGGCCAGCACCCTCCCGTGTGGCCCACCTTTTCTGCAATCCATACTCACCCTCCAGGAGCTTGGGCACAAAGTGGGCGGCTGCCTTGGTCTTCTTGACTCGATTTCCCTTCATGACTCGGCCCTCCCTGTCCAGGCCCAGGTACCAGGCCCGGCCGGAGCGGCGCTGACGGTAGAGAGCAGAGGCGTACAGGACATAGTAATTCTCGAAGACGCATTCCTTAAAGCGACACTCCGCTGTGAAATGTGGCTGAGGAGACAAAGACCCAGAAAGGCACACAGAGACAGACAGACAAGAAGACGTCTCACTGGACAGAAGAAGGAAGAACAAGCCAGGACAGAATCCATACATTTGGGGCTGGGAGGGCCCACTTCTCACTCCACGCAGAAACTAGGAGAAAAGGGGGATGAGGGAGAGTCTGGCCGGCCCCCGATCGTTAGAAACTAGATTTCGGGGGTGCAGGGGGCTGGAATAAGAAGAAACTAGATTGGGGGGGCAAGCCCCAGGCCACGCAGCCTTGTCTCACCGAGCTGTAGAGCAGCCCCTCCGCGTTCATGGCCATGTAGTGACCCAGCTTGGCACTCTGGATGGTGACCACACGGAGCCCCACGGGGATCAGGTTGAAGTGGGCTGGGGATGGAGAGAGGGGGGCATCAGTGCCCGGGGCCTCAGGCCCCCAGCCCGGCACCCCCCCCCCACGGCCCCAGCCCAGTTCCACCGCTTCCCTTGGGGGTCCAAGAGCCAGACTGAACACAGCAGCACCAGAAGTGGGACTAGGATGTCACCTCCTGTCCCCGCGCTCTTCCTTCCCACCCAGCCGCTGGCTTCCCCTCTCACTGAAAGAGCTGGTGTCCTCGGGGGTGCCCTGGATGCTCCCGTCAGGATTCGCCTGGAGGTAGAAACCCTGGCGGCAGAACAGTTTGGTGACGATGCCTTTGAGCTGAGGCTCTGGGGAGAGAGAGAGAGAGAGAGAGAGAGACATTCATCTTTGAAGATGACATCTCTGTTCCCAGAACCATTCCTACACTTGGCGGGACGGGAGGAAAAAAAGAGGGGAGAATGGGCAGGGAGGACGCGGGTCCCAGGGCCCCAGCTCTCTGACCCTCTAAGCAGGCTCTCTCCCACCTCTCCCTGACTCCGGAGGAAGCCGGGGTGCGGGTCCCTTCTGCTTCCTCTAACCCCCAGCTTTCCGTTTAATTTATTGAAATTTATTTAAATGGCTTAATTCCTACTCTACAGCTCCACCAGAAGTGGGGGGAGGGGAGAGGACGGACGAGCCATCAGAAGGCAGAGGACAGAGGGAGGCAGGAGGCACTGCAGAAGGGCCCGTGTGTTTGTGACTGTGGGGGGCGGCGAGGTGACCACAGGGTCGGGGCGCCCCCTCACGAGTGGGGGTGGGACTGGGCCCGACGCTGACTCAGCACCTGCTGCTGCGGCTGCCGCGCGCTTGGCGCGGGCCTTGCCTTGGCCGGGTGCCGGCCTGTCTGACACTGACCCATCTGTCTGTCTGTCTGTCTGTCTGTCAGCCCGCGGGCTCGCGGGGCCTCAGCCCTCCCTGAGGCCCAGCCTCTCCCCTCCAGCCAGGTAACCCGCCTGAGGTAGGGGACATTGGGTACCAAACCCAGGAAATGGGGGAAGGGGAGCCCGGGAGCTGGCGAGGCAGGCGGAGTCACGTGGGGGCCGGGTCCCACTCAAAGGGTGGGCTGCGGACCGTACCACTACGGAGGGCCGGCGGCGGGGGGAGGAGGGCACGAGGGGGCTACCCCTAGGGGAGCTGGGAGCAGGCGGGAGCGGGGCCAGAGGGACTCCTGCCAGTCCTGCCTGGACGGGGACCACGCGCCAACCCTCACCACTCTCCTTCCCCGTCGCTTGCTCTCGGCCGACTTCCCCGTACCCCCTTGTAGGTGGTACGACCCCCCTCCTCCCGTCTCGGAGCGAGTCTCTCGCCCGGTACTGGGTCTGAGTTCCTCGCGGCAGAGGGTCCCCCGAGCATGTGGGAGCCGCTTTCGGAGTCGCGTAGGGGGTAATGGGGGGTGGCCGGCTCCCCTCTCGAAGCGCAGATCACCGAGGAGGGCGCACAGAGGGGCGGGCTGGCGAGGTAGCTGCAAGGACACCCGGGGAAGAGCTGGGGAGATTGGCGCCGAGCCTGCCAGCGGGAACGGAGCCAAGGCGTGGAGGAGCGGGAGAACCGGGGCGGGGGCGGGGCTGCCAGAGCTGCAGAAACCCTCGGGGTGACCCGGGCGTCCGGAACCCCCAGGCCCCTCCGCCCGGCATTGAAAGAATCGCGAGAGCCGGCACGTAGGCGGCGGACGGTGGGGGTGGGGACTCCTGCGTTGGGGAGGGGGCGGGGGGCGAGCCGGAGCCGCGAGGCTTCGGAGCGCCAGACCTAGCCCCCCAAGCCTTCCCCTTGCCCTCGACAGCAAGGAGACTCGGGGTTATGGGCAAAAAAGACGGGAAACTGAGGCATCGTCTAGCAGAGACTGTGTGGTCCTGGCCCACCCCCTTTCACTTTCGGGGAACCCCCCTCAGTCGGGCCCCGTCCTTCGGAGTCCCTGGCCTCAACCTCCCAGGCGGAGAGACCCCAGGCCCGGAGACCCCGCTCCAGCCACTCACCAGGGCCGCGGTCCAGCCGCGCGGGCCTCCCCCCGCACAGTCGCACCTTGGACAGCAGGATGAGGAGCTGCTTCTGGCAAAGGGACTTGGTGCCGCGGGGACACACGCGCCGCTGCGCCGACACGGGCCGGCTGCCCCCGGGCTCGCGGACCTCCCGCTTCTGCCGGATCAGGCTACTGGCCAGAGCCGCCATGGCGCCCCGGGAGGAGACACCCCCAAACCGGCAAGCGCCCGGAGCGCTGGGCTCCTCAAGAGAAGCCCGCTCACCAGGGCATGCTCTTTGACGCTGGGGTCCCAACTCCCCGCCTCACCCACGGGACCTGAGGATAAGCCCCAGACCCCCGACCCCCCCAGCCGCCAGCCCTCACCCTTGGGTCCCGTGCTAGCTCCACTGGACCCGGCAGCCTATGTATCTGTTGACCCCACCCTCGACTTTTGCCCCCTACTGAAAACTACCCACTTCCCTGTTCTCCACCGTCCCTGTCCCCACTTTCCTTAGGCCAAAGTCGAGACCCTCAAAATTTGCAAGCTGTGGTTCCAGTACCCCCAGGCACCTTTCCACCCTATTTTGGGGACCCGCACTCCTGCCAAATCCACTCTTGTAACCTAAAGGGTGCGGGTCCTCAGCTTTGAATATATTAGCTCAACCCCATCCCTACTGGGGCACTGCCAATGTCAGGGAGGAACCCAACCTTGGTGTCTTTGCCACCCTCTAAGTGGAAAGGATCCCCCACTTTTTTCAGTGAAGTCCCCCCAAACTGGGAAAACCCAGGCTGTCCCCGTTCAGCGATTAGGGGTTCCCAGACCCTGTCTCTGGACAATACCTTTTTTTCACCAAGTCACCCCCATTTCTAGTGGTACATGGTTCCACCTGCCGAGCCCCTTTCCTCACCTTGTCACCCTCCACTCCTTTTGAAGTCACCTCCAAATCCGCCCTTCCTAGTGGATACACCAGGTGGTTGTCTGGAGGGTCTCTGTCACCTCGAGATAAGGAGCATCCGGTTTGGTTTTTTTTTCTCCTGGTTGCCCCTTAATTTCCTCGGGGACAGCTGGTGCTGCTTAGATCCCACGCCCTCCAATCCAACCAGCCCCCCGAGAGGAGCGCACCCACGTTATCACCAGTTCCCAAATGTGAGCAGGCCCCCTACAAGTCAGAGTGCATCGGAGCTTTCTGCGACAGGGCTTCTCGTCGTCCCTGGGACAGCCTATAGCACCCCTCTTCCTTCCCCGACGCCCCTCAACCTGTCCTGTCTTGTTGATCCGGCGACGGGTGGCGCTGGCTCCGGTTCCAGGCTCCTCCCTCCCTGTCCCTCGCCAGCGGAGCTTCCCCCCACGCCGGGCTAGGCGCCCCGGACCCCCAGCAAGGAGGAAGGGTGTCTCCGCAGGGCGCCCTGGTCAGGCGGAGTCAGAGCGCTGGGCCGGGCGGCTGGACCAAGCAGAGCTGCGGCGGCAGTGGGGAGCCGAGGCGGCGGCGACAGCAGCTCCCCCTCCTCTGAGAGTCGGCCCGGGGGCGGGGCAGGGGGCGGAGACGCCGGGAAAGACGGGGGCGCAGCAGGGCGGGCGGAACCCCGGGGTTCCTCGGAGGCAGGGAGTGGGGACGGTCTTAGAGGCAGACGGAGCCGAGGCAAGGCCGCACGTCTTGGGGTTCAGAGGAGGAGAGACCAGGAGGTGACTGCACAAAACGGAACCCTGGATGGGAGGAGAGGTTGGGCTTAAGATGGATGGAATGGCGGACGCTGGGAGGATGGAGAAAGGGACCCTACTGCCCGGCTTGGGAGGGCAGAACTTGGGAGGGGACTAACTGCGTAGGGGAGGGGTGGTGGTGAGATCCAGCCCGGGTCGCAACCCGGCCTTCTTTAATCTCTCCGATTTTGTGTGAGCCAAATCGGCCAGTCCCTGGTCTCCATACCTTCCTTCTGCGTTTTGTCGGCAAATATGCACCCCCACCCCTTCCCTACTGACTCCTAAAAGACCATAAAAATTGGGGAAGATGGTGGCCGGAGGATCCACCGGGCCGGGAGGGGTGCTGGCCACAGACTTGGGGAGTAGAGCGGCCAGAAATGGGACGACCTGTGCCAGGGACGGGGCAGGAGGATGCGGGGAGGAACCCGCGAAGGGGCCTTTTAGGCTGTGCTCTTCGGCCCCGGGGCGCTCGGTGTGTCTCCTAGGCGAGGGGCTGGCAGCTCCCGCCACATCCCGCAGGCCAACAGAAGCATTTTTCCACACGGGTAGGAACAGCGTCTTTAATGGGCCCCGCCTCCCACCCCCGCTAAGCCGCCCCCCTTGCGCGCAGCCTTGGCCTCCTCCACCGCGGCGCGCAGGGCGCGGGCTGGGTCCCCGCGGAGCCGGGCCAACGCCCCGAGCAGCGCCGCGGTGCCATCCCCCGCACGGAGCTTCTGGCCGCTCAGAAAATAGTGGGGCAGTGTCCCGGCCTCGAGCACGCGGCCCAGCTCATCCAGCAGCCCGAGGCAGCAAGCGCCCGCGTTCTCGGGCCGCGCGAGATAGAGCGCGGGCAGCCGCTCGCACGCCCAGTAGAGCAGCGTCCGCAGCAGGTAGGGCGCCGCGGCCCGGGTCCCCGCCACCAGCGGGCGCAGCAGCGCCTGGGCCGCCGCGTGCGCTTGCAGCAGCGGAGCGGGAATGCGCGCCTTGAGCGCCAGCTCCTGGCGGGCGAAGCAGAGCTGCCAGCCGGAGGCGCCCGGCTGCTCGGTGTGGCCGCCGGGCACCAGGTAGAAGGATGACGACTCGGAGGCCAGCGGGCCGGCCCACGAGTGGCTCCGAGCACCCTCGGGCCAGCCGGCCACGGACACCACGGGAATCAGGTCGAAGAGCAGGACGCGGCGCGGGGGCCCCGGCGTGGCCAGGAGGACGGTGGTGAACCCCGCGTGGCGGGCTGCGTGGACCAAGCGTGGGGCACCCGGGACCGGGAACAGGGACTCGGCGACCGCGGCCAGTGAAGCAAAGAACCACGCAGCCACCTGGGCGGGGCAAAGTGTGGGCCATGCCTCCCAATCCTCCCACGGCTGTGGGACGGGGCTAAGGACGGCTGCTTTGGTGACGTCACCATTCAGGTTTTTCGGTGGGGCAGAAGAGCCAAGATCGATTATGTCTTGCCCAGGCGGCTCAGGCCCCGGAACGTTACTCGATGATTTTTCCAAAGACACGTTTGGCTCAGGTTCAGTGACATCACCGTGCGGCTGGTCCGTGGAGCTCTGCCGGCCCTTGGGACTTCCTTCGCTTTCGGTTCGGTGGCTGGAATCACGTCCTCCTGGGACTGGAGGTCCTAGGCAATCCTGCCAAGCCTCCCGGATCGAGGTTCCGCGTATCTGCTCTGGGAGGCACAGCCACGCGTAACAGGACTCCACGTCCAGTTGCACCTCCGGCCCAGTGCCGTCTAGCGAAAACACGGGCACTAGGAGTGTAAAGCCGGCGTCGTAATGAGGTCCCCGGATGTAAGGACCTAGGGGTGCAGGTCCCAGATCCAGGGAGCCCTCGCGAATCCCACCACGAAGAAGCAAGAGCTCTGCTTGGGGAGGAAAGCGGGGGTCCCGACGGTGAACAAGACCTACGGGAAGAGACGGGTTCGGGAGGGCATGACCCAAAGCCCGGGCGGGGTGGGGAGGGGCTGAAGGCTGCGAGTACCCGAAGGCAGGGAGAGTTACTTACCAAGCAAAGAGAAGACAAAGTCCTTGGCCCGGAGGAGGTCTGGTCCCGGCTTGGGCGCGTCACTCCAGCTCTCCTGCACACCCAGCTCCTGGATCAGCTGGGTTAGTTCCTGCAGCTGCGCCCCGGAGCAGAAGTCGATGTCCGTGAGCGGCCGGGCTGGGGCTGGGGGCGGCGGGCCCCACCAGGGCGCACTCCCCCAGACCGCGGAAGCCATGTGGCTCAGCCGTTTGGGGTTAGGGAGGACGCTTAGACGGACCGTTCCTTTGCTGCCAAAAAGTCGCCCGCGTTCTTCTCTCCTCTCGAGGCCGCGAGAGTGCCCCAGGCAGTTCGTCAACGGGTCTGCAGCTGAAGGGCTCTAAATTTAGTCTTGAAAACGAACAAATAAATACCTCCAACGCCGTTGCCCTTTCCTCAAATGATGGTCCCCGCCCCCATGGAACGGCCCACCTGACTCAGCAGGTAAAAAGTAGCTGTTGGGCCCCTCCTGCGAGATGTAATAGCGAGTCGCCGCCGCCGCCCCTGCTCTACCTCCCCTTACCTCTCTTTCGGAAGAGGCTTGTGGTCTGCGGCTTCCCTCTTAGGGATAGCTGCAAGGGTTGGGAAGCGAGCGGACAGAACGATTCAACAGGTAACTTCCTCCTGTAGCCCGAGGCCACGCCCCCAAGCTGCGGCCACGCCCCTTTCTGGAGGCTGTGCGGGTGGTTCCCGACCGGCCCCGCCTCCTGCCGGAGATCGGTCACTCTTCGCTCTGCTGAGATCTCGCGCTTCCTGGGGGTTGCAGTTTGTCTTCCGAGCTACCGGGGCGTTGAGGGCACGCCCCCGCATCCTTTCCTGTTCCGCTGAAGTAGTGCCTGATGGAAGTTGTAGTTTCTATGGAGAGCAGCTGTTCTGTGACTTTCAAGCCCAGGTCGGCCCCACGCAAACATTCCGTGGGGTTGGAACAGGATGGGTCTGAAGAGCAAATAACAATGGGGGACATACCCTAGGGGCCTGGGGTGGGGGGGGGAAGAGGGGCCTCCACATCTCTTGTGTGAGTAGAGGAGCTCTGGTCACTTAGATCTAGGAGGGTTCGTCCATGCAATCGTAACTTCATTTTAGAGATGAGACTGCAGCCTGCGAAAGTTGCACATAGTAGGGCTGGGCCGGAGAGGTGTTGGAAAGGGGCTCCCAGCTGGGTGCGGGGGCATCCCTTTGGAGTCCGTGTCAGGCAAGAACACACAGGTGGTGACCCAGGAATAAACACTGGACTGAGGGAACGGCCATAGGTATTGGCGATGCCCACCTTGGACACATGAGTGCTAGCAGGGTACGCACTTTGGGATCTGCCAGCTCATATATGTACACAGAAGAGTTATCAGGACTGAAAATCAAGTCCAGAGGACAATCCCAACTGGGCTGGGGCAGGGCAGCGGAACACTATCCGGAGAAGGAAATTGTGTTCAGTGACTATGGCTACCAGAGACACAGCTTTAGTCCAGGATGAGACTGGGAGCCAGAATGAGAAGACAGAACCACGGGAAACCAGGGACAGACCCGCACACGGCTCAGACCAACCCACCGCTAGACCAGGACTTCCCCCATTCCCCCACCACTGGAAGAACTATGTCCAAAGTGAGATAGGCCTACGTCCATGGCAAAGGACTGTGAAGGAGGGGACTCTCAGAATCCAGAGCTCGATTTGGGGAGCCCCGATCTCAGGGGTTCCTAGTCACTGACAAAGAAAGCTCTTCTCCCTCCGCAACCTCAAGCCCCAAAACACAGCCCAGAACTGGGGAGGCAGGTTTCCATATACCTGGTTGTGACCCAAGAGACCAGAGGGGGAAAACTGAAGGCTGGGCTCTTTCTCACAGTCTGGGGGCAATCAGGTGTATAGGGCTTCCCTACCTCTTCCCTCCTCCCCGGAGGGTGGCCTCTCAGTCACACTGAAAACAATTAAGTTCTCTGGGTTCTGTGGGAGCTTTGAAGATGCTGGGTTTGAGTGGCAAGGGCAAGGGAAGTTTCTCTAAACTCTAAAGCATTGCTGTCCAATAGGATTTTCTGTGACGGTGGAAATGTTCTAAATCTGTGCCGTCCAATATAGTAGACACGTGGCCATTGAGCACTTGAAATGTAGATAATGAGACTGAGGAACAGAATTTTAAATTTTAAGTTTTTTTTCTTTTTTTTTTTTTAAAGTAGGCTCCATCTATGCCCAACGTGGGGCTTGAACTCCCGACCCTGGGATCAAGAGTCACGTGTTCTACCGACGGAGCCAGCCAGGTGTTCCTAAATTTTATTAATTTTAAGTAATTTGCATTTTAACAGCCACATTTGGCTTGTGGCTACTGTATTGGACAATGCAGCTCTAGCCCTTGGGGATCGGGGGTTTTGCCATGCAGGGATGCAGGAGAAAATGTAGTACCAGTCCTCATCAGGCCCTGTGGGTGGCCAGCATCAGGAACAGGGCTGGGGTAGATGTTCCCAAACAACCACAGAACACTTCTCTTGCCTCTTTATTCCTGATGCACCTTTGTCCCCTCTTTTTCCAAGGTCCTCATCACACACTGATAGCCCCACTCCTTGTTGGTCTCCAGGGGGTTGCTGGATGCCTCTTGGCGACCGCGCCTGGGAGACAGAGCTTCACACTTGTCCCTGCCTACCCCAAACTGTCTCTGGCGGGCATCAAAGACCACATGTCCTACCCGGGTGCCCGACCCAGGGCAGTAGGGCTTCCAGTTGATTTTGGGAGGCATAGACATCTGGCGATAGCTCTGGTAGGCTGAAGGCGCTGTATCCACAGGACGGTACACCCAGTCCCGGCTGCCTGCTCGCCGGGAGGATGGCTGCAGCTCAATTAGCAAAGGGACCTCTGAGAAGGTTTGCAGGTCATTGTAGATCATCACCTGGGGCTTGGAGGAGCTGGAGTTCTGACTCAGTGGGACAGAAGTCCATGGTAGCTGCTGTTGCGCATCTTCCTTCCGAGGAGCCTCTTCAGATACATGAGGCTTCGTCAGGCACAGTGATGACTTTGGGGTGTGAGGTAGGCCCAAGACTTGGACTGAGTCGGTACTAACAGCAAGGCCTGGGTTCTTGTGGTGGTTGGGATTTGAGATAAGGGATGAATCCTTGTGGAGCCTGGATTCCCCAATCAGGCTTTGAGTCTTGGGGAGGCCATGGTCTTGGGTAAGGGCTGGGCCCTTATTGGGGCCAGGATCTTGATTAACTCCTGGGTACTTGTGGAAGTTAGGGTCTTGGATATATTCCGGGCTCCTGTAAATTCCATCGTCTTGTGTACGGCCACATCTTTTGACTTCGGTGGCTTGTGTAAGGCTTGGATTCTTATGGAGATCAGAATCTTGAGTAAGGCCTAGGTCCCCGTTGACTCCAGAATCTTCAGTGAGGCCTGGATTCTTGTAGTCTCCGGAGTCTCGGGTAAGGCCTGAGCCCTTATGGAGACCAGAGGTTTGGATCAAGCCTGGGCTCTTATTGACTCCAGAGTCTTGGTATAGGCTCTTCTGTGGGCAAGAATCTTGGGGAAGGCCTAGACTCCTAGAGACTCCCAGCTCATGAGCGTTACCTGCACTCTTGTAAATTCCGGAATCTTGAGAAGGGCCTGGGCTATTATGGAGGCCAGTAGTTTGGGAGAGATCTTGACTTTTACAGTGTATAGTCTCTTGGTTTTGTTCTAGATTCCTATAGACTCCAGAGTTTTGCATAAAGCCTGAGCTCCCCTGAATGTCAGAAGTTTGGGGAAATGGTATGTTCTTGTGGAGGCCACAAGGTTGGGCGAGACACGGGCTTCTAAAGATACCTGCATTTTGAGTAGGACCTAGGCTCTTTTGGGGGCCAGAATCTTGGGTAATGACCAGATTCTTGTGAAGTCCAGAATCTTGGGAAGAGCTTGGACTCTTGCAGAGATAAGGGTCTTGAATAAGGCCTGGGGGCTTGTTTAGGCCTGGATCTTGAACAAGGCCTGGGTTCTTGTAGAGGCCTGGATTTTGGGTAAGGCCTGGGTTCCTGGGAACTCTCAAGTCCTTTGGAGGGCTTGAAGTCCTTCGGAGGCCAGAAACTTGGTTGAGGCCTCGACTCCCCTGAAGTTCAGGGGGTTGGGGTTGGATTGGGGGTCGGAAAGTCTTAGAGAACTGTGGAGGGATGGGGAACTGGGAAGAGGGGATGGACTGAGAAGACTTGGAGGTTGGGGGGAAGGTGGGGGGTTGCATTGAGGTGGAGGGCTTCTGGTGGTTGGAGGGTTGATGAGGGACAAAGGATCTGGGAGACGTAAGAGGCAGAGAAAGAGTGCATGGGGGAGGGATGGTGCTCAGTGAGCTCTGGGCACCGGTTGGAGAATGAAAGCAAGGTTGAGAAGGTGTGGCATCCTTGGAGTAGACCAGGAGTTTGGGGTAGACCGAAGTCTGGGAGTCTGTGTTTCTCCTCTCAGAACTGCAGGGATGGAAGCTGAAATAAGGGAAGGTCTTGGGCTGTAAGAACTTGTCTTTGGCATCATTTGAGATCTTCCATTCTACATTCCCCAGCTCCAGGTAGCCCAGCACGGAGCCTGTGGGGGGCGGTTTGGCACAGTCCCCACTGTGTTGCTTCGATGTTGGCTCAGCTGTCCCAGAGCCGCCCAGACCCTGCCCCTCTTGGGGCCTGGGGAGGGTGCCCACGTCCCTTCTGGAATACCCAAATTTTAGCGGGGGACACACGTGGCACACATTCTGTTTCATCCTGCGGGCATCGTAGACTACGTGGCCTGTGGAGAGGCCTTGGCCGAAGGCCGTCAGGGTAGAGGGAATACGAGTTAGGATGGGGGTACGGGTGGTGACCGAGACAGGAGTGGTAGTCAGGGTCATGACCAGAGCTGGGTCGGGGGTTGGCCTAGAGATTGGGACAGGAGCTGGGGGAGGGGCTGGGGCAGAGGTGGGAGCAGGGACCAGGGGGTGAGGGACATGGGTATAGGTTAGATGAGCATGGGCCGGAGTGCAGGCCGGGGCATGGGCTATTACGGGCTCAGGGGTGTGACCCAGGGGACGGGCTGAGGTGTGCTCAGGGCCGCGGGCCTGGGCAGGGGTGTGCTGAGTGTGCTCAGGGGTGAAGCCTGGGGAGTAGGTATGGTCCTGGACTGAGGTGTGCTCGGGGCCATGGACCAGGACAGGGGTGTGCTCGGCAGCATGGGCTGGGGAGCAGGTCTGGGCTTGGGGGGTGATGTGCTCAGGGGTGAGGGCTGCAGAGCAGGTACGGGCCTGGAGGGGTTTATACTCTGGGGCTTGGGCTAGGGAATGGATCTGGGCCTGAGGCAGGTTATGCTCAAGGGTGTGAGCTGGGGAGCAGGTCTGGGCCTGGGGGGTGGTATGCTCAGGGGCGTGGGCTAGGGAGGAGCTGTGGGCCTGACAGGTGGTGGGCTCAGGGGCGTGGGCTCGGCGGGAGGTCTGGGTGTGGGCCTGGGCCTGGGCCTTGGGGGTGCTGTGCTCAGGGGTGTGGGCTGGGGAGTGGGTCTGGGTCTGGGCCGGGGCATGGGCTGGGTCATAGTCTGGGGTGTTGGTCTTGCTCTCGTGGGGCAAGAGGAGGGGAACCATGTCCGCCTTGCTCATCCTGGGGAACTGGGAAGGTGCCTGGTGCCTGGAGTTGAAGCGGGCCCGGGCCTTTAAGGCTGTGACCTGAGGGGCCTCCCCAGCCCCCATCACCCCCTCCTTCCACGGTCCCCCGGGAGCGTCCATGGGAGCCCCGGCGTGCCCACACTGAGGCGGCATCCAGCAGCACCCAGAAGCCTTCTCGTCATTCGTGTCTGGTATCCAGGAGTTGAGGTGGTTGGGGTACCCGACCAGGAAGCCCGGGCGCCCGTGGAAGCGGGAGGAGACTCTCGAACACAGGTTCTTGGCGTCCATGGAGCAGTGCGTGCACATGGGATGTCCGCCTGTGTAGCTGGGTTGCTTGTCTGCAGGGAAACGTGGGATGGGACAGGGTCGGGGCTCCTGAGGGCCCGAGAAAGGGGACAGGTCCACATCCCCTTGAGGCCATGCTGGGGCCCACTCACCTTTGGGGTAAAAATGATGGAAAAGAATCCGCAAGGAGCTCTTCAGATGCCTCCAGAGCTGAGGGAAGCAGGGGAAGGGGGAGCCCGGACGTGTGGTGAGCCCTGCAGCCCAGCCCTTGCTTGGTCACATCCCAGCAGCCCTCCCGCCTCAGCCCCTTTCGAACCCCAGGGCTCCCCAACCCTGTTGCGCAGCCCCTGCCCTGACCAGAGTCACCACATTGATCCCCACGTTGAGCAAGATGAAGCTGCCCAGAATCAGAAGGATTGAGTCTCCTAGGTCCTGGCACTTCCTGGGGTTGGTGCCAGAGCATACTTGGGCTCCGTGGTGGGCTCGCTCACCCATGGCCGGGGGTCCCAGGACCACCTGGGCCCCCCCTGGCCCCCACATACTCACTAGGAGCCAGACTCCTCTGGTGGGGGAGGGGAGAGGGACTGGGTCACAATGGGGCGGGTGTTGGGGTCACAATGAGGGAGGGGAGGAAACGGAGGGCCTAGGACGGCCTGCCCTAGTAACCAGGTTCTCGTAACCTGAGTCCCCAAAGTCAGATGGGGCTAGAAGCCAGCATGCCTGCCCTGTGGCCCCCATCCCTCCTTCGTTCCCTCACTGCCCCTGCCTCACTCCCTCAAACACTCACACGGTCCATCCCCTTGGCCACTCCTAAGGCTGGGAGGACCTTGGCCTCAGGGCCTTGGCCTTCTCCTTGCCCTCCCTGGGGCCGTGGCCCTGGATCCAGGCAGAGGTAGGACTGGAATCTGACCTCACCACGTCGTCGTCGTCGTGTGGGGCTGAGCCTCGGAGCCCACTTTCAGATCGGGGAGGGCAGATGCCCAGAGCACGTGCTCAGTCAGAGACAGATGGTTTGGAGTCTGCCGCTGCAAGACCTCCTTAGGGCACCGGGCGGGAAGCAGAGTCCTGTGGGGGGGTGGGGGTGGGGGCCTGTGGCCACAGCCACTTGGAGCCTGGTGCTGAGAAGCCGGGACCCAGGCTGACAGAAGTGGCCCTTCCAAGGCCCAAAACACACCACCGTGTTTCCTGGACTCCGTTGCTCTTTATTCCTGTCTCTGTGCCCCCGGCCCGCCACCCACAGTTGCCGCGGGTCAGTGCAGCTTCCCGGTCGGGCTCCTGGGCACCGAGGGCCGCGAGGCAGAGGTGGACGGCGGGGGCAGGGAGGTGGCCCGCGCTCGGCTCTCCTGCACCTGCCGCTTCAGCTCCAGGCTGTCATAGACCTGGTAGCCGGCGGTGCCCCGGGGGTTCCTGCTGAGCGGCAGAAAGGTGGGCTGGGGCTGGGGGACCTCGGGAGCCTGGACTTCGGGCAGGGGCTGGTTGGGATGGGGGAGCAGGGCCGAGCTGGGGGCCGGGGCCCGCTGGTAGGAGGTCTCGCCCAGCATGGTGAGGGAGGTGGAGGCCGTCAGAGGGTGCCGGGCGGGCAGGGCCTCAGCCCATTCGGCGGCCCGGCGCCGGACCTCGTGGGGTTCCCGGGGGCTGTAGCTCAGGTGGCCCGTGGATGGGTGCGGGCTGCGGGTGGGCTGGCTGTAAGCGTGGCCGTGGCCGTGGCCGTGGCCGTGGCCGGGGAGGTTCCGTGGGTGCGCCTGGGGGGACCCCCGGGACACCAGCGTGGGCGGAGGCTCAGAGCCCTCCAGGCTGCGCCACCGCTGATCCCAGGAGTCATAGAGCAGCTGGCCGCTCGACGGGTAAGGGTCGTACCCCGCGGGGACCCAGGAGGGATTCGGGGGCAGCCGGCGGAGAGCGGGCAGAGACGAGGCCCACTGCTCCGCCTCCATAGTGCCCCAGATTCGGGACTGGGAGCAGTGGGGCCTGTAGGACTGCAGCCTCAGCTCCGACTTGGCCTCCACGCGCTTGGGCATGCGGCGCAGCTCGGGTGACAGGTAGAGAGAGGGTGGCGGCAGGCTGGCCAGGATCCCACCCTGGCGGCCCCACAGCCCCAGGCTGGAGGGCAGGCCCATCTGCGGGTAAAGCCTGCCCCAGCCGCCCCGTGGGTACTTGGGGAGTGGGAAGGCCAGGTCCTCCTCCTGCTCCACGTCGGAGTCCAGGTCCTCCTGGTCAAAGGGGGACACCCCCGGCAGCTGCGACATCTTGCGGCCGCGACGGGGGCTACGGAAGGCTGAGGGGTTGTGGGGGAAGTGCCTCTGGTTCTTCAGCCCCCACTGGTGGCTGCAGGGACGGCAGTGGCTGAGGCGCTGGTGGGGGCCGCGGCGGCGGGGGCGGGGGTTGCCCAGTCGGCGGCAGGAGGACGAGGGGTAGCAGGCGGGCCGGGCCAGCTTCACTTCCACGGGCTCCAGGGTGCAGTGGATGTGGACGTCTCGGGCCTTGGCGGGGGGATCTTTGGTGGAAACTTCACAAGCCTGCAAGGTTTCACCTGGGGGCGACAAGCGTCCGTGAGGCCGGGGCGACTGTCAGAAGAGCTCAGGGCTGGGAACAGGGTGGCCTGGGTTTCTAGGGTTGTGCTGGTGGTGTTGGGCGGGGGGTGGGGGGGGGTCCCCAGCCTCTCTTGCTGCCATACTTACTTTTCTGATTAATCCAACAGAGCATCTTGTCTAAGGCATTCTGGAGACCATGCCACATCTGGGGATAGTGTGGGGTGGGAGTGAAGACCAGGAGGCTCTCTACCCTCCCCCCCCACACCCCTCCCCGGCTCCCAGCCAAGACCACACTCCTGCAGGTAGAGGCTCCCACCCTCAGCCCTCTTAGCCGCGGGGGCTGTCCCCCACCATCACTGACCACAGTTACCACGTTGATCCCGATGTTGACGAGAACTACGAGGCCCAGCAGCAGAAGCAGTATGTCTTCCGGATCCTGGAGGTGTTCCTGGTGTTGATTGCAGCACCCCACGTTGTCGTACCAAAGCTGGTTTTCCATGGTGGGGGGGCCCTACGGCCACCTGGGCCACCGCCCCCCCCCCCACCAGCCCCGACCACACTGTACTCATGCCGGGACCTGGGGACACCTACCAGCGGGGGAGGGGGTTGGGTCATAATGAGGCACATTGAGGGGAGTCACAATGCAGAGGTGGCCACGCTTTTGTCCACTCGGCTTGCCCTTAAATGGCCGTCTCCTCCCTTGGCTGCCACTTAATGCGGCCCTGTCCCCGGATATCCCAGAGCTCATTCTTTCCCTGTCTCCACAGGGGCCTGCTTAAGTCACCACCTGATTCCTGATTTGAAGACATGGTCGCTATAGTTGTAAGAGGGTCTTCACAGGGACTGAGTCGTCCATAAAGGATTTCCTCCGTGTCATTGTTCTCTTGAGACATCAAGGCGCCTTGTGCAGTTGGTCCCCTCCACCTATGCCTACTTGGGGCCAGCAGCTAGGGTGACAGCAAGAGTCCCCTCCGGGGTCGCCGCACTGTGCCAGTCCCTCCCCGTCCTTCCCGTTCCCTGCCATAATTCCTCTAGCACCTACCCTGCCCACCCCTTCCTGGCCAAGGATTGCAGCCCTATGCCGTGTGGTCACCGAGCCCACTGGCCCCCTTGCTTCGGAGCAAGACTGACTTCCTGCTCGCCCCGGGTTGCTTGCCTCTGCCGGGGACCACCCCGACCGTGCTCTCTCCCCTTCCTAACCAACTGCCCTCCCACGGACCTAGCCCTCCAAACTGGAAACCTGTTAGCTCCCCCCTTAAGAAAACCCCATGAAACGCACAAAGCACAAAATAGATGTAATTGTGGATAGGACAAAAGGAGCCTTCGTTCTGAAGCAGGTTCATCACTGGGGTCCGTGGAAGTGGTGCCCTGGGGACCTCGAGTCATTTGTCGGGATGGCGGGTGAACAACTCGACAGAAATAAAGCAACAGCCAGTAGGTGTTGCCCTCCGAGCCTCCAAACACATAGTAGGTGCTCGATACATACTCACTGAACGGAATCAACTTAAAAAGATCAACAGTGGGGGCGGAATGAAGGCGAAGGAAGCAGCAGGCTGATTCACAGAAGGCCTGCCTGGCCACGTTCCGGGAACACATCTGCTACAGAGGGTGGGGTCCAGTTCCTTCGGCCTGGGCGCCCCCCCGGGGCTTCTGGTTCCCGAGCCCTCGAGCGGCCGCGTGCGTGTGTCCATGCGCCCACGTGGGTGGGTGTGCGGGCGCGAGGCCCGCTGCCTAGGAGGAGGTAGGGCCTGATTTTCCCGCTGTGTGTGGATGGCACGCTCCGATGACTTCACATGGCAGACTGAGGCAGGGGGAGTCTGAGGGGCCAGGCTGACTCCGGAATGCAGTCTCCCTGCCGGAGCAGAGCCCGGAGCTTCTGAAGCTGCGTGGGGACTTGATCCCTGGTGTCTGTGTGACTGTGAATTAGTCACTTCCCCTCCCTGAGCCTCGGTCTCCTCGCTGGTGACAGGCAGGTGCTAATCAGAGCAGTGAGGTCCCAGAGGGCAGCCCTCGAGAATGTCCCCAGTGTTTGGTCCTCCGCTCCGAGCCTGCTCGTGGGCACAGGAGCTTTGGGTCCTGACTGGGGAATCGTGAGGGCCTGGACACCCTCCCTCTCAGCCAGCCCTGCTCAAAGAAACCAGGGCTTTGGGGGGGAGGCCGGGGAAGCGCGCCAGCCCTGGGCTCCGGCAGAAACCAGGCCGCCGAGGGGCTAGGGCCACGGGGGTGGGGTCTCCCCTCTAGCGTAGGCCTGCCTGAGGATCTGGACCGGGATCTGGGGGCGCTGCTCTGGGCACGAAAGAAAACAGGGGAGCGGCAGGTGGGAATGTTGGGACCCAGAGGGGCTGGGAGAGAACTGAGGGCAGGGCCCTAGGGAAGCCAAGGGGTTGAAGAGGGTCCTTGGGGCTCTCGAGGTCCCTGTTGCCAGGGAGACCCTTCGCCGAGGGCCCTGACTCCCCCCTACACCACCGCAGACCACCTCCTCTCTTCCTTTTATTTTTGTCCCAGTCACCTCTCTGCCACAGAACGGTACACCCAGTCCTTGCCCGTGCCCTCGGCCACGTTGCTGGATAGGGAGCCCAGGGGGTAACAGTGGGACAGGGCCTCCACCTCGCGGGTCAGCTCCCGGAGCCGCCGCCGTACGTCTCGGGCGTCGTAGACCACGCGGCCCGAGGAGCGGCGCCGGGGGATGTCAGGGACAATGGCCGGGCCCTGGACGGGCGGCGGGGCCGGCGGGGCGGGGGCGCACGCCTCCAGCTCGGCCTGGGCCCCCGCCCCACTGTTCTTATGGCTCAGGGCCTGTGGGCTCGGGGGCGGGGGGTTCACCGGGTACACGTAGGCCTCGAGGCCCAGCTCTGACCGCATCTCTCCTTTGAGGGGCCCTCCTTCTATGGCCTGCTGGAAGCGAATGGTCGGGGGAGGGGGCTCCACGGCATCCTGGGGCCAGGGAGCCCAGAACCCCTGGCTGGACTGGAAGCCCTGCCAGTCTGCCGGCTGATCCCAGTGGTGGGGGCACACTGCCGGGTGCTGGTGTGGGGGCTTCTCGTCGTCGTCCGTGTCGGGGGCCCAGGCTACCGGGCGGTGGGCACGGCGGCCGGAAGAGCCCCGGTGGCGGTGGTGGCGAGCGGGTGGGGGAGTCACAGTCATTTTCACAGGGTCCATGGTGCATCGGAGGTGGACTGCAGGGGCTCTCTGCTTCGGAGGCTGGGGCTGCTTCCCCGGTGAGGATGACTTAGAAGCTTCTGTGGATCAAGGAGAGCCGGGAGGCTGGTGGGGAGGCTGGCTCCTGAGGGGACGGGGACGGGGACGGGGTGGGGGGGTAGGGTGCAGGGTAGAGGCTGCCCCGCCGTAGTGTCTGAACGGGGAGGGCGGGCGGGGAAGGGGCCAGCTCTGGGTCAGGGTCCCTGCCTCTTCTGTGCCCGCGGCCTCCCCCGCTTACCTTTCTCATAAACAATATGGAACACTTGGTGTAAGAAGCCACGGAGCCGGCGCCAGAGCTAGGTGAGGGAGGACTCAGTGAGCCCGGGCTGGCCCTGGCCACCAGGCCTCCCGCCGCCCCCATCCTGCCAGCGCCCTCCCGCCTGGCCCCACCCTGACCAGCGTCACCATATTGATGCTAATATTAACGCAGATGATGAGGCCCAGGAGCAACAGGATGGAGTTGCCCAGGTCCTGACAACTGTTGGTGTTGGAGCTGTGATACGAGGCCCACCCGGGCCGTGGCCGCTCAGCCATGGCCATGGGGGTCCCTGGGGCCACCGGGGCCCCTAGGCCCCCAGCCCACTGTGCCCACAGCATCCACCAGCCGCCTGCCTGCCTGCCCCAGGGGCTCCTGGGGGTAAGCGGGTCACAATGATGCCGGGCTCTCCCTCACAATGTGCCAAGAAGCAGAGTCTCGGGGCCGTGGTTGACCTTCCAGCCTGGGCCCAGGCCTTGGCAGAGGCCGAACCCTGCATCTGGCACTCCTGTCCCCGTAACCAGCCACCTGGACCGGCCCCCATGCCCCCTGGCCTGTCTGGTATCTGCCCCCATGAGCGCCCGGCCATTCCTTCTCTACACCAGCCTCAGGCTTCTGCACACACCTGGGCCCTGATCGGAACTCCCCCACACAACCCTGCTACCGTGGCAACCTTACCCCAGCACCCACTCCCCCCTTTCTCCCGGCGCTCCGAGCCGCTCCCCGAGATGGGCTGTGGGCTCGGACCACCTCCCTCTCCCTCACTGGCGGAGTGGCGGCCCTGAGGCTTAGTTCCTCGGAGCCCCCCCACCGACACCGCCCCCGATCACAGCAGGCACCACCAACAGTTAAATTTTTATATTTACAATATTCTCTTCATCTTTTGCCAGGTTTAAAAATGTGTACAGAGCCGCGAAGGGTTGGGGCAGGGACGTGGGATTGTCCGGGGATTGTTCTGGGGAGAGGGGCTGGGCATTGGAGTCCGTGGCTGAATCATGGGGTCCCCCAGCCCCCCTCCCATGCCCCAGTCTGGGGGGGGCATCTGTCTACAGGGTTCAGGGCCCAGGTCCCTAGCATTTCGAGGGCATGGCTGTTGGGAGAGGAGCTAGATCAGGCAAGGGAAGGGGTCAGAAAAGAACTAAGTTTCCCTGGGGGGAGGTAGGAGAAGGGACAGGAGGCAGAGCTCTGGGGAGCCAAGACCAGGGATCCCGGATCTGGGTGTCAGTGGAAGACAGCCCCCCCCACCCCCTACTCAAGTTTGGCACTAACGAACCCGTAAAAGGCCAGCCTCCACTGGTGTCCCTTAAAGCCCTTCCTGATACCGTCCTTCTCCCCAGAGGCCAAACCCTTTCTCCTCGGGCCGTTCCTCTCCGGGGCAGTCACCCCGCACGCATGTCCTTTCAAATTCTCCCTGCCGTTGTCCGCCTGAGCCCCGTCCCCCACAGCCCCCTCCATCTGTCCCTCAGCACCGCTGACCTCATTCTCTCCCCAGCCTGTCCCGTGAAGCCTTTCCCGCCTGCGCCCTCCTTCCACGGTTCCTTTCCTTCAGCCCTGGTGGCTGATGGAAGGGGGGGGCCTCGTCAAAGAAGGGGATGGGTGGCTGAGGGGAGAAGGTGCTCTCACGCTGACACGGGATGGCTTCAAGGAGGAAGACAGAGATGGGAGGAGAGACACTGAGGCAGAGAGGGAGGAATGAGACACGGGGAAGGGAGGAGAGACACAGGCGGGACCCCTTTCGCTGCTGCTTCCGTCCCCCGTACCCCACCTGTCCCCACATTTACCTGTCCTGGACCAGGACTGGGGAATCCTTGGCACATTTTGGGGGTCTTCCCCGCCCCTCAAACCCACCTAACCCAGTTTGGCACGGATGAGCAATGGTCTGAGGATTGAGGGAAAGGCTGTCCTCAGACCCCAGTGAGGGCTTTGGTCAAACATGCATGGCCTCTGTGGGTGGCACGCCATGCCCCCCAACTTGGCATCTCTTGGGGGGGGAGACGGGCAGAGCTCTGCCCCCAGGGTTTGTACACCCCCCCCACACACACACACTCAGCTTAGGTCAGTCTGAAGTCTGTCCCCACCACCTGCTGGGCAGGGAGGAGCTAAGTGCTAGGCCTCAGGCCCCAGACCCCGGGGATTGCTGGCAGGAAAGGGGCCGTCCGCATGGGAAACACACATCCACATGCAAGAACATGTTTCCACTCGGAGAGATGTGTCCTGGACCCGTGGGAAAACAAGTTCCCAGGCAGCACAGGGACGCACGGATCTCCTCCCTTCCCCCCGGCAGGGAATCCTACCCAGAGCACGGGCTTCATCTGACGTATGCCACGGGGGAAAAACATGCTTCGCTGGGGCAGAGGGGGTGTGGGGCACGGAGTGGGAGCGGGGGGGGGGGGGGGTCGACTGATTTCCTCGGTACCTTCCCAAGGGTCACTGTCCATGAACACACCACTTCCAGGGTCTCCATGGGGTGGGGAGGTGGGGGGAGGGGGGAGAAGGCATGAGGGAACGGGATTCTGGGGTACAAATCCCCACAGGAATTCTTTTGAGGGGGCCAACATGTGTCCAGGGCGGCAAAAAAAAAAACACCTCACCCTGCACATGGGAAAACACACCCCCTCGTGAGAAAGCAGGCCTCCACGTGGGAAAACACGTCCGAGTTTCCACACACCGAAGACCGGTGTCCCAAAGGAGGGCACGAAACAGCCCCCCGTTGTTCCGAGGCCCCGGTCCGGAGAAGAGGACGGGCCTCTGGGCATGGGAAAGACACGCATCCTGGTGCGGAACCCCATGTCCGCCTAGCGCTCCCCGCCGTGGGGCGCCCCCGGGGCGCGCGGGAAGCCTGTGGCCGGTCCTCCTGCCTGCCTTCTGAGCCGCGCTGCCCACCGGCGGCGGGCGGGGAGGGCTGGGGAGGAGGGCCTCCCCCCCAGCCGCCCCCTATACCCGAGTGGTGGAGTGAGGGTGCGGTAACGTGCTGTTGTGGCTGGTAGCGGTGGCGGGCGGCGGGGGGAAGGGCC